ATCTCCAACTTAGGCTCAGAAAGATACATTTAAAATAAGCTCCTCAGATAATTTTTATTTTATCAAGAATTACTTGTCCAAAAAAAAAAAAAAAAGCAGCATTATCTTAAGAACCAAAAATAGCTCACAGTGTCTGGTATAATAATTTCAAACAATGTAAGAAAAAGAAATAAGTTTAAAATGATCTCTTTGCAGGTGACATGGTTTTATGGAAAACTCTAAAGATTACACAGAAAGAAACTGTTAGAATAAATAAAGCAAAGTTGGAGCATACAAAATCAACACACAAAAATCAGCTGCATTTCTATATACTAACAATGAACAGACCTAAAAGGAAATTTAAAAAACAATTCTACAATGGTTTCGCCACCTGCTGTGCAAGCTCAAGGACCCGAGTTTGATTCCCGGTACAAAAAAAAAATTCCATTTACAAAGGCATCAAAAAGTGTAAAAACTTAGGAATTAACCTAACCAAGGAGGTGAAGGACACTGAAATCTATAAAACACTACTCCAATCTTCATGGATTAGAAAACTTAATATTGTATTATAAGATGTTCATACCCCTCAAAGCTATCTTCAGAGACAGTAACATGGTCCCTATTAAAATCATAAAGTCATTCATCCCACTGGGCATGGTGGTTTACACCTGTAATGTCAGACCCGAGGAGTCTGAGACAGGAAGATCACGAGTTCAAGGGAAGCCTGGGCTACATAGTAAGACCCTCTCTGGATGGAAAGGAAGAAGGGAGGGAAGTAGAGAAAAATTCCTGCTAATATTCAAACTCAAAAGACTCTGAATAGTCAAAACAGTATAGAAAAAGAACAAAGTCAGAAGACTCCTAAATCCTCATTTCCAAACATTTTACAAAGCTACAGTAATCAAAATGGCGTAACAATGGCATAAAGACAAATAGACCAATGGAACAAAATAGAAGGTACAGAAATAAACCCTCATGTACACAGTCAAATGACTTTTAATAACGATGCCAAGATTGCTCAATGGAGAAAGAACAGTCTCTTCAACACTAGTGCTGGGGAAACTGGATATCCACATGCAAAAGAATGTGGGTTAGGTGTGGTGCTGCACACCTATAATGAGGCAGGAGAATCACCATGAGTTCCAGGCCAGCCTGGGCCACATAGAGAGTTAAAGGCCAGCCTGCACTACAAAGGGAGACCCTGCCTTTAAAAAAAAAAAGGATGGGGCTGGGGATTTAGCTCAGTGGTTCTGTCGCCGGCCTCCCAAGTGCAAGGACCCAAGTTTGATCTCCGGTACCAAAAAAAAAAAAAACAGATGGATACCTTTGGGCCAGAGATTATCCTCCATAATATACAATCAACTCAAGGAGTTGGGGATAT